TTTCATTGCCGTGGCTATCTGTCTGCTGGGCGTAGGAACTATGGTTGGTGCAGACATACTAGCAAGGAGAGGCAATTCAGGTAAGACTGTGACTTCTTTCTGGTTCAGTCCCAGAGAAAAGTTTTGCTTAGGTTTTCACTTTTATTTTTTAAACACACAGTACAATGCAGGAAGCATGCCCTGGTTGACTATCTTTTCAATTTTACTTGCTTCTGGTATAGTGACCATTTCCACAAAGCTTCTACCTGCCCACAGTTCTTGTTCCTTTTTGTCACACTGGTTTTGTTTCATTTCATAAAATAAATTTCTTTATATATTTGCAATCTTCTTTTGGTCCATACATTTGGATTAGTTATTAGAAAATATACTGTAGATTCTTTTTTTTTAATCAAATAGAGACTTTGTGTCTACTCTGTTGATGAAAATACTTTGATATTCTTTGGGTCAAGGTTCAGACAATTGATGGTGTAAATCTCAAAAGGTCTATGAGTTCACCCAACCTACAAGTGACTTCAATATCTCCATTAAGAGAGAAATGACCTTGTTTACCTACCTTCCTTCCTTATCCTTTTAAATTAATTCCCTTCAATAGATTCCATTAATTTCTCATGTCATAGAATGATTTTCTGAGACCTTACATTAAGGCATATACCACTGTCTTCCAGTCTGTTAGTCTCTTGAGCAGTCACAGTATGAAAAATCACAGCAGAATTGTGCCAGAAAGTAAGAAGATCAGGAGTCTTTAAACGTCTAGAAATCAGGGTTTCTCCTTCCTTAAAATCTTAATCTTTTTTTAAAAAAATATATTTTATTGATTTTTTACAGAGAGGAAGGGAGAGAGATAGAGAGTCAGAAACATCGATGAGAGAGAAACATCGACCAGCTGCCTCCTGCACATCTCCCACTGGAGATGTGCCCGCAACCCAGGTACATGCCTTTGACCGGAGTCGAACCTGGGACCTTTCAGTCCGCAGGCTGACGCTCTATCCACTGAGCCAAACCGGTTTCGGCATAAAATCTTAATCTTAAGTGAACACTAGCCACATAAACTTCTAGGAGCAAGCTAAAGAGGTTTTCCTATTGATAATTGTTCCTTTTTGTGGCTTGTCTTTCTGTAGGCAGTGATGTACTGATGGGTGACATCTTCGTCCTGGTTGGGGCTTCCCTCTATGCCATTTCGAATGTGTGTGAAGAGTACATTGTGAAGAAGCTGAGCAGGCAGGAGTTTCTAGGAATGCTGGGCTTATTTGGAACAGTCATCAGTGGCATACAGCTGTAAGTCTAACATTTTCCTTAGAAACAAAATAAGCAAATATGTCATAAGTTATTACTTCCCAACTACTAATTTTCATTGTTTACTTGGCCCAAACTCACATTTAAAATCAGTAACTTGCTATAATGAACAACATAAACCGATGAACAAAAATAGAACCAGAGACATAGAAGCGTGGAACAGACTGTCCAGCCTATGAGGAGATCAACCAAAGGACCTATAGGCATGCATATGAGCCTAACCAATGGACACAGACAGTAGGATGGTGAGGACATTTGCTTGGGGAGAAAAAGGAGACTCATGTAATACTTTAAACAATAAAGAATTTAAACTAAAAAAATAAAATAAAACCAGTAACTTGCTACCTGTATATTAGAGGATTTTTGAAATGTTAAGAAATATGTCTCATTTTCTTACATGTGGTAGAGGCAGTACCAGTAAAGAGTCTCTTTATCAATTATTTCCAGAAGATATTAACTTCCTATCCAAAGGGAAAACACAAAGTCATATTTTTCTCCTCTAGCTGACTACTAGTGAAGAGTGCTTTAAGACAGTCAGATATGTTTATGGATCTTTTTGGTTTTATTCTTTGTCATTTAAAAGAATATTTTTATTGATTTCAGAGAGAGAGAGAGAGAGAGAGAGAGAGAGAGAGAGAGAGAAACATCAGTGATGAGAAAGAATCATTGATCGACTGTCTCCTGCACGCCCCACATTGGGGATCAAGCCTGCAACCCGGGCATATGCCCTGACTGGGAATCAGACCATGACCTCCTGGTTCATAGGTTGACGCTCAACCACTGAGCCATGCCAACTGGGCTCTTCTTTGTCATTTTTTATAAAAAAAAGATAGTTATTTTATACTCTAAGAAAAATTCAAAAGTCAATATAATTCCTCACCTTATTTGAAGTATAGCAACTAAGTGCTTATACAATAGTGAAAACTAGTGTGTGCACCTCTCTGTGACCTCTTGTTTTAACCTTAGATTGCTTATGGAATATAAGGATATTGCCAGCATTCATTGGGACTGGAAAATTGGTATGTACATAAATCATCATTCTTTTTAGTCAGTTTTAGTCAGTCTCCTTTCCTCTGACAAAGACACACATCAAGAAATAAATACTTCATTTTAATGATATTATGCATTTTTGTAAAATCACAGAGTAATTCAGTATCCAGGATAGTGGTTTGCACTGAGTTTTCTCTGAGAACTTGTAAATGAACCTCCATAGAAGTTAATTTTTAATCTTTACCTTCAGGAATAGCCTTTCTTTACCAGGAATTCTGAACAAGAGAGACCTTTGTCACATGAGCTTCCATGTGACAGATACTAGATCTGTATCTGGAGTCTTCAGACTTTTTGTGAAGGTTGCCTGCTTGATCATTCAACACCCTGTTGGATTTTTTATTTTTATTTTTATTGATTTCAGAGAGGAAGGGAGAGGGAGAGAGAGATAGAAACATCAATGATGAGAGAGAACCATCGATCAGCTGCCTCCCAGAGGCCCCCCACTGGGGATCAAGCCTACAACCCGGGCATGTGCTCTTGACCGGAATTGAACCTGGGACCCTTCAGCCTGCAGGCTGATGCTCTATCTACTGAGCCAAACCAGCCAAGGCCCCGGTTGGATTTTTGAAGTCCTTTATCTACGTCACATCTTGCTGTTCTTTTCTTTCTTTCTTTTTTTTTGAGGGTGTTGTGCGTATCATTTGCAATGCTGTTATTAACAAGGGGCTTTGTAGCTAGTATGTTATAGGACCAGCAATTTTAAATGGCAGCCAGGCCTTAAGCACGTTGACTTCGGATTTCTTCCATGTTTTCACAGCCCTGCTGTTCGTGGCATTTGCCCTGTGTATGTTCTGCCTGTACAGCTTCATGCCACTGGTGATTAAAGTTACCAGTGCCACCTCAGTGAACCTGGGCATCCTGACATCTGACCTCTACAGCCTTTTCTTTGGGCTCTTTCTCTTTGGCTATACGGTAAGTGAATAGAAACCAGGTTCACATAAGAACACTTTGTTTCGTCCCAGAGAAGTAGTAGGTTTTTTTTAAGACTTTAGACCCAAAAGTAAAACCTTCTTACCCTGCTGGCAAAAATGACATTGCACAGTCCTCACTCCCTTTGTTACTGCTTCCAAGTTGGAAAATTGGCCCAAATAAGAATTGTTTTTCTAAAAGGTGAAATGCAATGAATTTCCTTTTCGGTATGGCCCATAACACCATTGCATGGAAATGCTAACGCATGTCGCCTGGTGATAAGCAAGGAATCCCAGAGCCACTGTTGACTCTGAGAGACCATCTCAGGTTGGGCATCCTGAGCGTCCCCCCTCCAGATTTATTGAGATATAATTGACAAGTGTATGAATTTAAGGTTTACAACATGTTGATTTGATACACTTACATATTGCAAAGCCCTGCTACACAGATAGAGTCTGTGGTACCCGGTGGGAGAGAAGGAGGTCATTGTATTATCATGCATGCAGTGATGGTAATTTCATATCTGGAAGGGACCTTGAAGGTAATTCAATTTAGTGGGTTTTTCAGACTTTTTCTGTCTCCGAAGCCTCACAGCATTCCAGCGTGTAACCTGCTCCCAGTAGGAACAGCTCTTGTGACATGTAGTAATTCTCAAAAAGAGTGGGGTGGGAGGGAGTGGATCAGTGTCTTCAAGGGAAACAGGAGAGCAAAGACAGTATCTCCAGAGAGCCTGCTTCACCTTCCCTCAAAAATCACAGAATGAATGATTTTATTTTAGAAGTGAGGAAACAAAGACTGATCAGTCTTATAGTGCAGTCTTCTATTGACTGCACTTTTTTCTCTATTGTAATTAATAAGATGTGCATCTCAAGCTTATGTATTTATCAAGGTAAAGTCTCATGCATTAGAAAGAACCAAATAGGGAGATTTTTTTTCCCCCTGTACTTCACAGATAATTTCAAAACTCTTTGGATAGCAGTTCTCATACTTTTTGATATCAGGACCCTTTTAAAATGCTTAAAAATTAAGAACTGCAGGTCACTTACTTTTATATTGATCATATTAGAATTTAAAACTGAGAAACTTAAACATTTATTAACTCATTAAGAAAATAAAAAACACATGTTAGCATAAAACATTTTTTTAAAAACCTATATTGCCCAAAATAAAAATATTAGTAAAAATGGTATCAATTTACATTTAAAAAAAAATCTCTTTAATGTGTGGCTTAATGGAAAATAGCTGGAGTTCCACATCTGGTGCTTCATTCTGCCTTGTGATATCACATGTCATGTAGTCTCTGGAATATTCCATTGTGCACTTCTAAGAGAATGACGGTGAAAAAGGCAAATAGCATGTTGGTATAATTATGAAAAGAGTTTTGACCTGACAGACTTTGACCTTCCAGTCTTCGGACCACGTTTTGAGAACTGCTGCCTTAGAGAGCCGTCTTTCCTTGCGTACCTTCCGTGAATGCTTCTGGGCCTGTTTGCTGTCTTGGCAACAAACAGTTAGGGTGAACAAATAGTTGGGATGTTGGCTGTCAGCTGGTAATTTTAGTTTCAGCAGGGAATAGCAACTACATTTCTTAGTCTTTGTACAATCTTGTATCCAGGCAGAAACCTTTGGCACTGATTTTACACTACGCCCAGGAATTGGCTATGAACTCACACTGCCTAGTTCTGTGGATTCTCAGAAATTTCTACTTAAGGAGTGTAAGCTATTTTGCCTTGCCAGGTACATGTGACAGGAATCAGCTGTTATCTTTGCAAACTTGCTGGTTAAGGTATTCCTGAACTAAGACTAAAAGAGTATTTTTAGTTTTTTGTTTTTTTTTTTAAGTAGCAGCATTAAACAGTAAAAAATTTTCAAAGTGAATCAGAGTGACCCTGACAGGCTTAGATTTCTTTTCCTCTGAGAGTGAGTTGTCCTGTGGTGCTGAGCTTGCATTTCACAGAGCCGCCACTAGAAGACAATGGTGTTTCTATTCTGCAGGTCAAGGCTAGTTGTTGGCTACGGTGCCCAAAGAAAGCCGAGTTCAACAGTGTAACTAATGGCCCTGCTCATCTGTGCTTTTTTAAAAAAAATTTTTATTTTATTGTTTAAAGTATTACAAATAGTAGTGCATATGTCTCTTTTTTTTCCCCCCCATTGACCTTCCCCCAGCCTCTCCTACCCTTCAGCACATGCTGTCCATTGGTTATGCTTATATGCATGCATACAAGTCCTTTGGCTAATATCGGGGCAGGTTTATGGGAGGAATGAGGTCACATATGTAATACCTTAATCAATAAAGAAATTAAAGATTGAAAAAAAGAAACTACTTATATATCCA